GGAATGGGTAGAGTTAAGGTTGGGGTTAGGTGAGGTGGGGTTGGGTGGGACAAGGTGACATGGAGTTGGATGGGTGGGTAGGTTTGGGTTGGGTTGGGTTGGTTGTGGTTGGAATGGGTTGAGTTCAGGTCGGGGTTGGGTAAGGTGGAGTCGAGTCAGGCTGGGTTGGATTGGTTGGGTTTGGTTGGGTTGGTTGTGGTTGGAATGGGTTGAGTTCAGGTCGGGGTTGGGTAAGGTGGAGTCGAGTTAGGCTGGGTTGGATTGGTTGGGTTTGGTTGTGGTTGGAATGGGTAGAGTTCAGGTCGGGGTTGGGTGAGGTGGAGTCGGGTCGGGCTAGGCTGGGTTGGATTGGTTGGGTTGTGTGGGTTGGTGTGGGTAAGGTTAGGGTTGGGTTTGGTTAGAACTGGGGTGGAGTTGAGGTGGGTGGTTTTGATTGAAAGAAAGCACGATATTCCAAGTTTGTATACATAGTCATACTAATTTTGGCCCTTGTAGGTTGTACAATGACAGTACAGCTGATGTATCTGACCGTTCTGGAGCTGGGTTGTGAGGCATACCTTGGGTCTCAGAGACAGGCCTGTGCTTGTCAATTGCACCACGATGACAACAGGACAGGGCCTAGAAGGGCCAAGCGCAGCACCAGGGTTGAACTGTGATCGAAACAAATAAAAAAACAACAGTAATCCTCGGGCGGAATACTGTTTTTTCTTTTGTTTGTAGAGTGAAGTGAACTTTCCTTGTCTTCCATTCTGGCTGTCGGTAGCATAGCGTTGCATTGCAATGGTGTGAGTTTATTAAGCAAGACAATTCCTCCACACAACATAAAAGTAATCATGGGCATTGAACACTGACAAACAAGTAGATCATTTGGGGGGGTTGGGGGGCTTTTTAACAGAATTCTGAAAAGAGACATTGTTTGTGTTGATTTTTCTTTCATAATTCTTTTCTTTTTTGCCAAAATCCCTCAGAATCATTACACAGCTCTCTACAAGACATTGTGGATACTTGTGAAGCTCACATTTAGATTAACACACAAATCTTTTGAGCTCATTTCATAAAAACAACTCATCTTCGGAGGGCAAGGCCCAACGTCCATGCCACAAAGGACATCTTTTTAAAGCAGTACTATGCAGTTGTTATGTGCTATTGCACCCAATTAACATTATTATACGTGATGCTGTATGCAAGTTTCTCCATTGCCTAAAGTTTTTCTCGGAAAAAAAAAACTGAAATCGATATTCATGTCAATTACTCTTTGTAAGATTTGGGTCTTTGTATGTTTGAGATACCGTCATATGTAGATACTTCTGACAGCACATTAACATATTTTGGCCACTTTTTTTGGTTCTACTCGATATCTCAGTTCATTGTATTAAAAAGATTTTCTTCTCTGTTAAGGAATTGCTGATTTTGTTCAGAATTGACCAGTCTATATAAGTAGCATTTTCTGACATTTCTGTTGAGAATTGAGCAATAATATTCTCATGTTCTGAATGAAACTTCCTGGACCTTTTTTCTGTAGAACTTCCCAGATATGCAGAAAATTCTGAAAACAAAATTGAATATTCTCTCACTTTTGTCTCCCTATTTGAGGTTCAACATATGTACCCATTTCCCCTATCCCAACCACAAAGCTGCTCAATTTTTTTTAATTATAATTGAGAGACATGGCTTTCTAAACTACGAGGAAGTGTCCGAGTGTTGTTTCAGATAGGGTAATCTCCAAGCACCATGTGCTGTGCTCCATTTTCCTTGTTCCCATATTCAGTCCAAAAATGGCCCGTTGGCTTGTTTTGACCTTATTTCCTGTCTGTGGTAGCAACCCCATCGGTTGGCAAGCCTAACAGGACTATCTGCACGTTTATCTTTTTTTTTTTCAAAGGAATGCAGGAAGTGATTTTAAATCGCAAATAAATTACATGCAGACAAGGTAAAAACTATGCCTACGGATGAGCAAGACTTCAAAATATGAATAAAGTTTAATGAAGAAATTCAGAGGGGCTAGCCCAACTTCAGATATTTGACTTCAACAACTTTAGAAAGACTCGGAAGGGTCAACGAGAAAAATTCCGAAGTACTTTTCCGTGTACAACATAAAAATGACACACGACCAAGATGTCGACTTCAGTGAATCACTGAAACTTTCATCAGACCATTTCTCCTTTAATTAAGACTGTACAACTCGGCAGCCACGATCGGAGATGGCATCGGAGATGAGCCATTACAGCTTTGCTCAAGCCTTTGCTCAAGCTCCAGTGAACTGTACATACTGTGGAGTTGCCATGCTATGTAACGAGCCCGTTAAAAATACTACGATGACAAGCAAACTCGGAAGGTTCTACTCCTTTTGTATTTAGTTCCAGTTATAACTAGGTAATGTGGCTGTCGACTGCGATGTGCTGTACATGAGTACAAGATCAATAAATTTGTGATCACCAAAAGAAAGCAATCCAACATTAAAATATGCCAACAACAAATGTTTCACAAAGCATGAAAGGAGCTATACATATATTTTAGTTCAAGTTTCCTTCTTAGTTAGGATAATGTAACAATGACCATAGTAGGATTTGGCCCTCTGATCTCTAGGGACACAATATCCGCACTCTGTCAACTTGTACAAGCTTGCATTGGCAGGTAGCCAATGTCAAGGTTCAAGGCCCCCATCTGTGTATTAAAAATATAGTTCCGCTTCACAAGTGACCTATGACACAAGCCCATCTACTCAAAGGTAAAAAACTTTGGAGTTCATTCAAGTTTAATACCACTATGCAATGGGATTTCTTTACGATGACTAGAATTAAGTGTAGTAATGTTACTTTACAAAGTTATCTATGGATGTACAAAAGAATCAAATAAATCAACTCTCAGATGGCAAAATGCTCCACCATTTCCCCAATAAAATTCAACATTAGATTTCAGAAGAGATTATAATCCATTTCACCAAAACACATCACACAATGCCACCCAAGCAATTTCTGACCCGAAGTGGCCTACGACTCACCCAGTGACCTCAGTATTTCTATAAGTACATGACAGCAAGGCATCCAATTGATACAGAGTGAATTTACACTACACAAGAAATTAATAGTTGAACAAAGCTAAAGGAAACATTTAAACAGTGGGTACAGGCAACAAACGAAACCACAAAAGAAGGAAATTTAGAATCAAATCTAAAGGAAGGTGAGGTCAAAAGTATTCTCAGGAGAGACATTCTGCTGGCAATAAAAAGGCACATTATGCAACTTCAACTACAATTTATTTTGACCTTTAAACACCAGCCATATCTAAGTTTCAACACAAAATGTCTATCGTACGTAAGTTTGTGATGACCTGCTCCTATGTATAAAGCAGACACATAGAAATGTGTGTGGGCAATCTGATTGGTTTCTATATACATGTACAGCGGAATTCGTCCTTATCCAGCCCTTAATACTTTCACATTTTTCAGAGAATGTTTGGCATTCTGCCAAAGACGATGATCCAAAACAATATCCTGAGCCCACTGATTTCTTTTGTCTATAATTCCCGTAGAATTCTAATTTTGGGACAAAAAGCTTCCAATATTAATTCACTGGACCAAACAATCCATCACAAGTTGGCACGGTTTGGTCATACTCCCCGTTACTGCGGCAACGCCAAGCAAGATACAATGAAACAAGTCGGCCTCTGTTTATTTCAAAGAGCAAACATGTCACACATGAAATTCTGTACATTTCTTACAACCTGTCAATTACAGAACTGTTTTGGTGCTTAAGCTAAGCCCTTGCTTGTCACTAGCTTAGCTTGATTCTTCAATCACTATGCAAACATTTTAAAGGCCAAATCCAAAAAAATATATGAACTCACTGAAAAGCCCTCGTTTTGTTTGCTCGCGGCCTACCTAGATTCGCTGGAATCTACCACCACGTTGGGGGACGGTAGCGTTTCTTCAAAATTCTGAGCTTTCAAAGGATAGAGTGCCCTGGGTGACGTCAGATGGGCTGGGCCCTATACTTTCCCCAAGCCTGCAAAATCCTTCAAATGAACTGATGGACTGAGACGGATCGGGGGGGGGGGGCTAGAATTGACCTTCTTGAAATATCTTGCACTGACGGCGCTCACACTTGGCCTTCCATGGCGCGCACATTCTTGAAGGCCGAGAGCTGGCTGGACTTCAGGTGCCCCTTGGCGGGGCCGGAGGAGGCTGTTGAGGACGCGAGGTGCATGGAGTGGAGCGAGGAGGCCAGCCCAGAGTCAACTTGCGTGCCGTGGTCAACTTCCTTGATGGCCAGATTGGAGACTGCCGCCAAACAAATGAAAACATGATAATCACTGTCACAACCCTTGCCATAATACAGGTCAAAGGAGAAAGGATCATTTTGTGTAGCTTGAGGAGTGTTTGCTATACAACGAGCGAGTTTAACAATGCAACACACGATGGCACTCGCCCCATTCATGCTCTTTTTCAGTATGACAATTTTTCTCCTCTAAGCCGCAAGACTTCGTGGCTGTCAAAACCCTGACACACCTTTGGGAAACTTTTCTTTGCTGGGGATGTTGGAAATGCCTTTCAGTCGGTCACAGCGGGCAAACTGGCATATTAACAGGCACAAACTCCCCTAATGTCAATTTTCACACTGATTTTGAACCTTGAAAGATAAGAGAATTTCATCAGAGCGTAGCGTACCTCTCTTGGCGGGCATTTTCAGTTCTTCGATCACGTTGAGCACATCCTCCCGATTCAGGCTTTTCAGGACTGAAGTCAGCTCGTCGATGGTTCCATCCATGGCCTGCTCATGCAGAGAGAGGAGACAACTCTTTGAAAATCAAAAGTCTTTCTCAGCTCAGCTGATGTCACAGAACGCTCAGACACCAGCAGAAATTATCACCGGTAGATCGGTTCTACAAATGGAATTCTTACAGGGCTGCTAATCATTAGCAAAGGATGACGCTCTTTTTGGTCGTGTGCTTATTGATTTGAAGACCTTGTGACTTCAATTGAATGTGAAGGTCGTGTACGACGTTGTGTGATGGCCACTAGGGGTCTCATGATGGTTTGGAGTGGCCTCGTAATGGCCTTATTAAAGGAGTTTTGTGACGGTCTGAAAGGAGTTTTGTGATAGTCTTAAGGGATTTGTGATGGTCTTAAAGGATAACGTGGAGGTATTAAAGGGTCTTGTAATGGTCTTAAGGGATGTCGTAATGGTCTTAAGGGGTCTTGTGATGGTCTTAAGGGATGTCGTAATGGTCTTAAGGGGTCTTGTGATGGTCTTAAGGGGTCTTGCAATGTCTTAAGGGGTCTCGTTATGGCCTTAAGGGGGGTCTTGTGATGGTCTTTAGGGGTCTCGTAATGGTCTTAAGGGGTCTTGAGATGGTCTTAGGGGTTTTCAACTACAACACCAGGACTCACCTCATATTGGTCTAGCAGGATGCTCGTGGGACTATCAAACTGCTTCAACTGGTTGATCATGTTGCCGAGCCCCAGCCTATCTGCCAGGGAGATCCAATCCTTGTGTGGCTTGACCTCGTCCAGCAGGGACTCCAGCTTGCGCCGTACCAGCGAGTCCAGGCGGTTCATGTCGCCCGTCGGCAGGCCGGTGCTGGGCCTGTAGGCCGAGCCCTGTCGGGAATGGTAGCACGAATCGGCCGTGCTCCGCGCCGAGTCGGTCGGGCCCTTCTGAGGCAAGCCCCAGGTGTAGCTGGAGGTGACGGACTGTGATAAACTAGGGATGTAGGACTCTCCTTTCAGGATACTAGCCATCTGGGAATGGAAAGAAAACAAATTCAGGATCATGGAGTCGCTGGAATTTTCTTTCCTGAGTGAGAATCAATGTGTAAAGTTTGGCAGCCATACTGTTTCCGAAACACTACTGGTAACCATCAATCCTTGCATAACTGGTAGCCTAACTAGTATCACTACCATTTGTTAATATTAAAAATGCTTGCATACCAGCTAACCACACTGGTTCCCATGCCCTAGTTTCAATCGTTAACATTTCAGAATGTTTGCATACCAGCTAGCTGTAGCAACACTGGTTCCCGTAACATTTAAGAATCCTTGCATAATTAGGGACATATCCCACAGTAGCATATCTGCTCAGTTGCAAGAGTACTGTTGGCAAGAATATTTGATTCTGCTAATGATGACAAGAATCACTCCCTACCCTTGGGGACTGTGCCATGTCCACGGGTGTCTTCCCCTTCAGTTCTCTCCCCTGGCCATGACCCTCGAATCTCCCCACCCCGTACTCCTCCTCAAACTCTTCCAAGTGGCCGTCTCCTGAGGCCACGCCCACCTCCCCCATGTACTCGTCCGAGGTGTCGTAGTTCTCCACGCTGGGGTCGGCGCCGGCACTGACCAGCACGGCAGCCACGGCAACAAAGTCCAGGCTGCAGGCTAGGTGGAGGGGCGTGTCCCCGGCGTAGGTGCGGGCGTGGATGTCAGCATCGGCGTCGCCGATGAGGAAACTCAGGAAGGAGAAGTTCTCCTGCTCCACGGCGTAGTGGAGTGGCGTGCGACCGCTCTTGCCGTCCTATGAGACGGAGAGAAAAAGGAAATTAGAAATTTGCGAGTTTACACAAAGATTTGACAGAAGATTGCCAGTGTTTCCCTGATGGTTTACGGAAGAATTTGTATAATTATGGTGGACACACTGGCTGAATCATATCATGGAAGATGATAACAAACCTGTAGACTGAAGTTAAAGCCAAAGCAAGTTCAAGCTGATTATTTTATAGACCCCCATGCCCGAAAGCGTTACTAGACTCCATCAGGCATCTTAGCTTACCGGAATGTTGACGTCTGCTCCGTTCTTCACCAACACCTTCAAGTTCATGAGGTGGCCAGAGCTCACTGAAATGTGAGCAGCTGTCATGCCTGTAAGGCAATATATAGATGTCAAGGTCAATGAAACACCAGCAAGACCAGAATTTGAACCCTGAACCATTGAAACGTGACATCAAGTGTTCTACTATGTAAAATACATTTCCCTCTGTTGGTGCCCGTCAGTGGAGCCAGAAGCTATATTGTGTGAAAGGTAAACAGAGTGGACTCACAAGAACAGGAGTTGAACCCAGGACCGAAAGAATGCCGCACCACGTGCCCAACCACGCCAAGTAACTTGTTCTGACATGGCGTGGCTCTTTTTTTCCCAATACCGCGTTATTTTAAAAAAAACAAAACGTACCATCCAGATTCTTGGCATTGAGGTCCGCCTTGATGGGCTCGATGGTTGAACGATTTTGGCCCGGGGGAGGGGGCGGTCCTTGAATCAGGAGGAGGGTGATGTCTTTCAGGCCATGCTCTGCGGCAAGGTGCAAGGGCATGTTGCCGTTGTGGTCCAAAATGTTCGGGTCGGCGCCGCAGCGCAAGAGGACTTCGACCACATCCCTCTGCTGAGTGGCCACCGCGACGTGCAAAGGAGTCTAGAATCAACCGCATAAAAGTCAATTCAATTAACCTTGCATTCTTGAGCTTTCCAAGACTTTAGTAATCGCAATCGCAAAATTTCCTTTGAAGTCCTCTGTGAATATTTCCTCATGAGCAAACATCTCACCAGACAAAACAGCACCGGTAAACCTGAGAGCTATTCCGAAACTCAATATCTCAACACTATGATCACGTTTTAAAAACCTATAACCCACCCACGCCCTGCTACAAACAGAAGGACAGACCTGATGGCCATTTACAGTTGTTGTGGAATTCAGTTCTGTTTCATACAGGGTTGTAATTTTGATGTTCAGATTTTTAACAAGCTGTAGGCACGATGACAATTTCACATTACAGAGACGACACAACACATGATTTAATTGTTCAGAGAAATATGGAAGGGCTGCGTAGCACCCTGATCAGAATATCGACAAGAATATAATATCAAATCAGTGCTCTGAAATATGTGATTGCCGAAATTTTGGCGACGGAGTACCTTCTTCAGGGCAAGCAGTTACTGAAAGCTCGGCAATCACATATTCCAGAGCACTGATTTTATATCATATTCTTGTCAATATACATGATTTAATTCTACTTTAATGCATTCTAATGCCGTTTAATAATAAGGTTCGCTGTACTATTGTAATCTTTACTCATTATAATAAACTATTTCGTCAGTTTTTGGTTTGGTTTCACATGTAATTCATGAAGTTGTTCAAATGTTGAAGGCCAATGGAATATCCCCTTAGAGATAATAACCTTAAACTGAAATTGAAATTTGTAAGCTGGCCAACAGGAAGACGCCTGTTTCCATCCGTCAGATTGATGTTCCTCTTCAGAACGGACAGACCACAGCAGAGAGTGAGGCGCTCAAGACCAGGCTTTCTTGTCAGTCTTACCTGGCGCAGTTTGTTGACGTGGTTGACGATTTTCTGGTTGGGGATGCTGACGATGACGTTGAGAAGGCCCAGAATGACATCCTGCTTCTTGTGAATGATGGCAAGATGGAGAGGACTAGGTGAGGAAAAAGAAGAAAAATAAATCGATAAATCTACCATGAAAGATGCATTGCCCACTAGAGGGCGCTTTGCATCCCAATGACAGGAGCCAACGATTGGCGATACCATGGAAATATTCATTTGCAGGCACTGTAAGAAAACTGCCAACTGATAAACTGGAATGATGACTGATGTAAATTAGCGTACGTGTCACCGTTCTCGTCCTCTACAGCCGTCAAGTGTCTCTGAACGGCCAGGACCATCTTAATGTCTGCCGTTTTGGCAAAATCGTGCAGTGCTCGGGACGTCCTCTCCGCCAGACGCCATGCCAGCGAGTCGTAGTCGAAGGGAAGATCATCTGCAATGAAAAGCAGGGCATGCACGTCAGCCGGGTCGAATATCCGAGTAAAAATCCTCCTCTGCAAACATCCAGTCTGGACAAAGTGGTCCTCTCACGGAAAATCAGTCAAGCGACTGTTTTCAACCGTTTAGTGTACCCTGCCTTGGCATCGCGGTACGGACAGGCTACGACTGTTGATATAACTCAGCATAGCGGTGCTTTGACTGTCAATGACAAACGGAAAACTCTGGAGAAACAAAAGCGCCTCTGTCACTTGATCTTTCAATCCGCCGTTAGAATGTTTTACCAATTTATCACGCCTAGTGCACATGCAGTATCCTCTCTTGTTGATTTTTTTTTTAATCATGATAATACCCTCATATTACACAAGTCCTGTTTTTGACTGACCGACAAACCTACCTGTCTGGACTCCGTGGTCTGTTTGACTCTTGGCTCTTTCCACAATGAGGTCAGTGACATCTAACATCTTGGTTCGAGAAATCACTTCTGGTTCCTCTGTTTTGTGGAAAGAAAAGCTTAACCATTGGAGAACCACAGAATGGAAAAAGACAACCTTCTCATACGTTCAAGAAGGCACTTTTATATGGATCCTAAAGTGATGCATATGTCACATTCTGAGTAACCCAACCAGCTATACTTTATTATAGTTCACAGAGGAATTTGTAACACATAAAGGAGTTTTTGTATTCTTCTACGTATTTGTACAGCTTCTGCAGTGACGTTGGAACTTCTCAAAAAACTATTTTGTAAAAAAAAACTGGCCATGCAGAAAGAGAAAAAAAAGCACAAGTAACCTTTTTTTACTTACAAGAGTACGCTCCAAAGATTAACTGCTCTTCCAAAATTAAGTGTGTTTTAAAATAATATTTGAAATGCTTTGCGTACAAGAGAAATCACATTATACATCTTGGTTGGTCGGGCATGAAGTTTCATTCAAACACACGAAAAAGTCAAACTTCTTTTAGGGTTTAAAACTTTGGGTTTTTAAGAAAAAGAAGTCGGTAGAGGATGCCGATTGGAGATAGTTCCTTACCGACAGGGGCGGAGTCCACCTCCAAGTCACTATCCACCTCCTCGTCATTCAAGGCGGCAGCATCCACCATCGGGACGGTGGCCGGCTGACTGTCCTGCACGGCTTCGGTGGAGTGGCCCGCCGTGGGTAGCACCACCACCCGCTTGCTGTCTTTGCCCACCCCGTGACTCTGCATCACCAGCCCCTGCTGGCCCTGCTGTTGCTGCTGTCGCTGTTGCAGCTGCAGTTGTTGCTGCTGGCGAAATTGGCTCATGATGCTCAGGTGTTGCTGGTCTGCAATCAGCAAAACGTTTGTGCAATAAGGATCGTGTTGAAAAGTCAGAGAAAAAAAATCACCCCGAAAAACCAACGGATGCAGTTTTCTCCTGACTAAAATGGACGCCACAATAGACGGACGTGAATTTCATCTACGATACAAAAAAATCATACCCCACTTTGTCCTCTATGACAGGTTTGAAAAATTTACTGCCCAGCCACATTGTTTAACACTAGACTTCTGAGTTTTATTTATCAAAGAAGACTGTGTGACTTCGTAGATTCATATTAACTTTGAAATCTGAAAAAAAGAAATCTCAGAATTGATTGTCTCCTATTAATTGGAATATTGGAAAACTTGAAAATATGATTCATATGCTGCAGTCTGTCAAAAACCCTTTTCTCAAACATGGTTCTATTGAAAACTCCAGAATACAAATAAATGTCCCGCTCACATGGTGCTGACTTTCAAGGATAAAGGCAAATCCAGTGGAATCCAAATCACGTATCAATTGCTGAAAATATCGGTGAAGGTTACAAACGTATGGTGGGTTTTCGGGGAATAATAGACGTGGAGCCATGGGCCATTGTTTTGCTCGTTGCATTGTGTGCGTATCCAGTGGGGAAATGCGTCATTGTGGCACGTTATTATCTACTGACTCAAGAAGGAACGGCAGCTACAAAACAAGGCTTTAAATGGAGAGCAACGTGCAACATGTGCATTGTAACTTGGTAAATGTGCATCCGACCATTGATGTCTGGAACCACTTCCAACTTTACAAATCCATTTGTAACTTGCTAAACAATGCACACCAAAAGACTGAATTCGGATATTCGACACAAAAACCTGGCCGCATGGACGTCTAACACTATGTGAAAAGGTTGCTTACGGATGTTTAGGGTCAGACAGAATAGATGATTAGAATAGATTTTTTTTTTTGTGGACTGCTGGGGGTAGGTCTCTTTTGTGGGTACCCTGCTGCCTGCATTTCACTTCAATAGCTCCTAAACTACCAGTAAGTACACCTTACAACTGATGACAAAAGGAGGAATTCACATGACCTACCTCTCTGCACGTTCCCACCTTGGCTGGTGGTGGGCGCCTGGAAGGCATTGGCCGGTCCCCCGCCCCCGCCGCCAAAGTTCATGTTGAGGGGCGCGTTGGGCGTGAAGGGGTAACCGCTGCCCCCTCTCCCCCACCTCCCCCTCCCCTTGTGCCGCCGTATCCGCCTTTGCCCCCGCCCCCAGGGTAGCAATGGTCCTGGAACGACGGCAGTTGTTTCTTCCTCTTTCTAAGGATGCTCTCTTTATCTATACGGTGAACCACAGGGGCCACGTCAACAAAATATAATGTTTCCTGGGCCAAATTTAAAATCATTTTTTTTCTACAGGAAAACTCTTTTTATAAAATATTTCCAACGACCAGTTGCTCGATTTATTTGACAAGTTGAATCAGTTGTTGAAAAAAGTATCCATTTTAAAATATAAAGGTGCATTAAATAAATAAAATAAAATAAAATAAATAAAATAATTGGCAGATGTACATGTATTCACTTGTGACATTTCTGAACAAAGAAACGGAAAAAATTTTTCCATTCTGAGAATCGGGTGAGTGGGAAAAGTTTTCCAATTCAGGTATCAAATTAAGAAAAGAAAGTCAGAGGCTTCATTTTTCCCATACACAGCAACTACTTCAATTTTGGTTTCCCAGCAAAGCCAGCACGATACTTCCTCCAAGGACAAGACAAGGGGAATTTTCCCGGGATTTCCCACTCCGGAACGTGCCCGAGGGTGATGACTGCAACCAGAGACAGGTTCCTGTTTTGTTTGATGGTTTTGCTTTACTTGAACAGGATCCTACCTGTCAGCTGGGGGTGATAGGTGAACGGCTTGGGGTCGCTCACTTCCCGGTCTGAGCGCCGCTGGAGCTGAACCTGAACATAGACTGGCTTCTGAATGTAGCAGTCTTTGTAACGGGGCGTCTTGAAGACGATGGCAAACTGTGGAAAATTACAGGAAATGCAACACTGTGTAGACTCAAGGAAACTGTCAATGTTTCTCTGACTGACATCAAGCTGCTTTCTGCTCACAGATATTAGGAAATTTCCTCAAATGTCCTTAATTTTTTTTCTCCTTAATCCAACAAGATTAAGTTTTACACTTTACCTATTACAGGACAAGATTTGAGGCCGAAAAAAATTAGTTCTTCTTTTCTGTTAGACACTAGGCTACCTGTGGGTAGGTAGGAATTGTTTTGAAAACTTTAATACTTTTTTAAGTGTCACCTGCAAAATAACAACAGCAAGAGAGGCTGCGCGGCATTTGATCGTAGTGAAATGAATAACACTGTTAGTTTACTAGTTGAATGCATTTATAAGCCCGCTGAACCTGTTTTGCACCACAGTTCAATAAGTATATACACAATTTGTTCTGTCTTTTTTGTCCTATTTCACATTTTGCCAAAATCCCTCCCTAAAAACCCATCTTAATAGGGTAGGCTGAGAAACAGGAAGCATAACTATTTGGGGGGGCTCATTTTTTAAACTCTTTCATTTTTACACAATCTCTCATTTTCACATGCTTTTCATTTTGAACATTCTCTTTCCTCGCTGTGACTCATCTTTCAATTAAGACCTGTTTTTATTGACCTATTACGTTTCCTGTTTTAATTTAAACTTTGTACACATCGGTACTACTTGAATGGTTTTAATATGAAGTTTGAAATAATGAAATCTGAGCCGAATTAGAACTAAACTGAACGGGCCTGCGCGGAGCATGTAGGGTTTACACTGGTACCCACACGAAAAATGCTAACCATTATGGCGTACCTGTCTGTGGACGTCAGTGGGACCAAACTCTCCATGGGCCTCCCAAACGACCTCTCCACTGCTGTTTATCTCAAAGAACCTCACTGCCACGTCCTCTTTCTGCACCTTGTCACACAAGAGGTACACCTCCTCGTTGCCCGTCACGCAGCCTGAGCTCTTGTCCATGCGGCAGATTTTGAGGGTGGTGGCCCCGGGCGCCTCTGTTTGACGGAACATTCAATCGGTGTTGTAGTCCGGACCAGTCACGAGACCGGTCACAAGATCTTTCACGAGACCAGCCACAAGACCAGTCACACGAACCAGGTTGAACTATAACGGAGGGTTGCTTTTTGTTGCCGTTCATTTGGATAGCCAGTGAGTTCAATTCAGGCCGGAGGTCTCGTGTTGGTCTTGTGGGGACTTGTGTTGGTCTTATGGAGTCTCTACTACAACAATGGCATTGACAGATGTGCCAAACTGCAGGCAGAACCTCACGTACTGTATGCTATGTGCACTGAATTTTGGACTGTGAATACTGCACACTGCTAGTGGGTTCATTTGAGCCTGGAAAGGAGGCTACAGATTGCCCTCGGAAGAGGGGTATTCCAGTAATGGAGTGGAGTCCATCACAAGTCCTTTCACAAGACCAGACACAAGACCATGCGTAAGACCAGTCATAAGTAACAGGGTGAACATTGACAAAGGGAGGCTTTTGTCACAGCTCGGGAATTGGCTTAAGACTGAATGACTTGTGATGGACTTGTGATGGATTGGAATACAACACTGGTTTTTTATACGAATGATACAAACGTTACCCATGTTCATCAATGATTTCATATTAGGAAAGTACATTTAAGATCATGAACAACAGAAGCATTTTGAGTTGTTTGCATGAAAGGATTGTACGCTGAGAGGGTACCAACGAAAGGAAGGAATAGTAAAGAACATCTTCAGGGAGGAGGTAGGAGAACGATAGGGGAGATGGAAGGAGAGAGTACTCACTGCTGTCGTAGATGGGCACCGACACGACCGGCTGAAGTGGTTGGTTGAAGTGACCCGTGGCATCGGGTAGATAGGCCTGAAAGCACAGCCGGACAACCGACAGGTCCATCTCCTTGGACATCTCCTTGGCCTTCTTTGTCAGGTCCTCTTCGCTGTCCAGTATCCCGTGGGTGGTGCTGGACTGGTAACCCTTATCGCCGAGTACCGAGCAGTACAGCTTCTGCTGCTGCCGCAAGCGATCCTTCAGGACTTTCTCAACGTTCTTGCGGGTGACATGGAGGATACCCAAATTTGGGAAACTGGCCACGAGAAAAGAATAAATCAACCAAATTAAGCTTAACATTCAACAGAGTGTCTCACAAATCTTGCAATGTATAAACAGAGACGAGTCTCACTGCTCCGCTGTCAGATTATGGCAAATTTTCAGAAAATTGGAAAGGCAGAAAAATTCAGCTCCTTCTTCAGGCAATATCTTCCCCCAACCAACCAAAACTGAAAAATTCAAATTAATTAAATTTAGATTTGTAATTGGAAGACAATTTTACGTTTACGGTTTTGAGTTTTAGGACAGCAACCACACTGGCTTTGTTTGTCCGACATTGTGATTACATACCTTGCAGTCATATCCGCGGGTCCCACTTGGACCATGCACTGACCATCGTTACAGTGCTTACCCACCAGGCTGTGCGCGTGGGGTCTGGGTACTTCCTCGTTGGTCACCAAGGAGACAACAATCCTGGCCACTCCAACGTGGTTGACAATCTAGGTGGCAAGAAAAAATTCAGCTTTGTCATGGAAGGAAGTTTGAGACAAAGAGAAAAACCGTAGGGTGTCAAGACGAGTCTCACATACCAGTCTTGAGTAAGGCTGAATCAATGCAAAGAATTAAATACTTGATTACTCACCCTTCCATTCATTCGAATATTCAAATATTCCGTTGGACAAAATTCCCACAAAACCAGAAACAAAATATTAACTTTTTTAAAAAGTTAACAATAAAGATTTGAAGGGAAAGTAGTTTTGAGCCTTATTCTAAGGTATTTCCGCTCGGCTTCACATGGCTTGAACAACTTGTGTCATCTAGAAAGTGATTGCTGCTAAATGAAATTTTGTCACAGAAAAAAATTATTTTCCCAATTTTATTCCGAAGGATTTCACCACTGAAAATTCAATTTTGAAGATTTTGATAATCAGTTGAATATCCAAAGTTTAGAATAACTGGCACATCCCTACCCTTGAGACCTGCCACACTCTACCTCAGTTGCTCGACGAACCCTTACCTCCACTGACGGGTACGTTCGTTTTCCTTTTTGGTTGTTCTGTCCTGGCAAGCCTCCGTGGGACGGCCCTTCGCAATCGTACCGGAATCGAAATCCCCGCTGTAAAATTAGCGTGACAGAGGAAAGTGGTTACATATCTGATAGGATCATCAAAATTTCTTCCTAACGGCAAATGCTTCAGAGATGCACATGCACATCTGTAAGCGGAGGACGCGGTCCAGCGGTATATAGCGGACTCTACAGCATCCAGACTTCAGTTGCCTAATTAAACCGAGACGTCGCTACCAGCAACAGGACATCGCGAGTCATCGACCTTTTTTTCTGTATTCTATAATTCTCATTCACAATTCACACTCTAAGGCCGTGCCCGAATTACTTGGCTATGGCCTGAAATTATGCATGAGTCTATGGAAGTGGCCACAAGACAGTTTCCATAGATTCGTGAGTAATTTCTAGCCATAGCCAAGTAATTCAGCCACGGCCTAAGTTCATGTAACATCTTTTGTAGCATTTTCTGCCACAGTGCATATTAAATGTTGAAATTTGGGAGCAGTATATGTAACTGGCGTCAAGATATTAAAAGCATTCCACTTGAAAACCTCAGGGCTAAGCATAAAAGAAAGTGATAGTTTATTTGGGAGACTGAATTCCGTACATGTACATGAGTGTTGTCTTTGTAAACGTGTAAACAACTTTCCCTACTGTCCCTTTCACCTTACTCCATTTGGTAAGACCTAAAACTTTAACTCGCGACTGCATGTGAAAAAAAGTGCCATAGTCATTTGTGTGTCGTCACACTAGTGGCGCAAAATTTCCAGGAAAACTTATAAATAACGGGCATGTAACCGATTCAGGACATGTACGGGCGTGCCCTCTCTGCCTCTATCCTGTTGGCAAACAATTCCAATGTACTTGTACGTACGTCAACAGTATTTATGGTTCCAAAGTCATTATACGAGCAATTTCTGGCAAGGTGCCAAAACATTTTATTCACCCATTTGGATCTATTATATTGATCATAATGTACAACTGTGTCTGTTATTACAACTGATTTTGTACATACGGTTTGTTCATCAACAATCTGCCGCTCGGTACGACCGAATATTCGTCTATTTGATCAAACTGAAGGTTGAATATTCGAATAGTGAATTATTTGAATTGACTCAGCCACGTACCAGTACATATGTACATGTACATACATGGCCGAACACATGTACATTGTATTTGAAGGCCTCCAAGTAAAGGGTCATTCCATGATGTTGGGGCACAATTTACATGTATGATGGTGTCAGTTGTTATGGTACATGGGTTCCATAAACATGGACAGCTATTTCCCTGCATGTGGATTCCAAACTGACATGTACAGGTATACACATCTTGCATGGCTGAATACAGAGGTGTGTGTTATTTTTACAGAGTAAATGTAAATGACCTACTCTGTACGTCATGACTGTTGTTAAAAGTTGCAGATGTAACGAGTGATGCCGTCACAAATTGTACCCCAACCTCACGGAATGATCCTACAATGTAGATTCTTGAGTATCAACTTTATGTAGGCAAACAAGATAGAGAACCGCGAGGTTAGAAATAAATTTCTGCGGATGTATCAGACAACCAAGTCTAGTCCGGAGAAGTGAGGGTTGGTGATATCAACGGTTGTGTGATTTTTGTGGGAGACCTGGCACAACTTACATAAACCGAACAACAACCCACATCTTCCATGACACGCCGAGATTCTTTCACAATGCTTCACTTGCGCGACAAACTCAAAACTGCGGAACTTCACTTGGACAACACCTTTAAGGGGAAAAAATCTCTCACTAAAACCCAAATGCATGCTCAAACCTCTTGCCCTTGAGTTGTGAAATTACGCCATTACACTGTTATACTGAGGTAGCAAAACCATACTGTAGATATCCTCTGAAATGTTTCATTTCAATAAATGAATGCCGTGCCGCATGGGTAATTTCATTTCTTGGTTCATTTTTTACTAGTTCCTCCTTTTGTTCACAATCAACTGCTTGCAAAAGCACCCAATATGCGACGCACACGTGTGCATTCACGAGTTGTGCTTACATGCACTCTTCTGTGCAGATCAGGAAGCAAGGGACGAAATAAAGGTCAGTTTGGGACAGAACTGAACAATACATTCTTTGTACCATTGGCTTTCTTTCCACTGAAGCACACACGTACATATGGTTTTGTTTAACATGTGGGTGGGTTTTCCTGTACACGTGTCGGAAACCTTTCAGGAAGTCAATGCCATGCCTGCATAGCACATCGTTATCAAATCAAAAATGGATTTTTTTGAAGGAAACAGAGAGTTCTTGACTTCCAAAGTGACACGCAAAGGAGCAATTTCAACAGGAATTAGCCGTACATATGGACAATTTCACAAAAACAGATTCCAATCAACATTTCCAGGAATGTTACAGGAAGATTTACTCGTAACAGTTTTAAAACAGTTTTAGAATGTCATTTTGCGACCAAAAGAACTAAACATTTTCTTGCTTTCATTCTGATTTTCATCACTGATTATTCTGCTTTGAAAAATGAATAATCAACTTTACAATAACCAGTCAAATATCCAAATATTTCAATATTCTGCACAGCCCTTTTCACAACAATGCATACATGTACATCGACCAATTCCATCCTCATTTTCACACAGTAGTATTCTGCATTGAATGCAGTATTTGGGGAAACCATCGACGGAAGGGCCCAAAACCTCAAGCAGGTTTTTAGACAACAGGTTGTTCGATCCATTTCAATGGACCCTGACATGCCAGAATAGAATAGTTTCGGATCTAGTTTCCATCCAATCTTACCCATGTAATAGGACCTTTTTTTTCCTGCTAAACCACAAAGTTCTCCCAAGGAAATTCAGTTTCAGTATTCAAGCAGTCGACGTCGCAAGGTTGGACAGGCTGTCTTACTTTTCCTCCAAGCTGTGATCTCACTACAACGTAGGTTTTCTCTTTCAACTGTAACTTGACATAATGCATGTGCGTGCACTTCGGTGATTTCAGTACACGTGTGAGTATCCCTGAGCAAAGTTCCACCATTAAAGGGTGTTTGCGATGAATTTTTTCTTAGATCTATAATTTTCTTCAATAAATGGAACCTGACATCCGTTATGGCCTTAGAGTATTGAAAAGCGTACTTTTTTAAATTGTGTAAACACCGTCCAAGCTTTCCTTGACTACTGAGGGCCCTATTGCCATGATGTCAATCAGGGAAGCCACTGTTCAGTTTCTATATTTTCTGCTACGATTGTGAACCCAAAATGTACACATTGAAAATGCTGACAAAGTTTGCGAGTTGCTTTTCTGCCATCTGCCTGCCCAATTATGAACCACCAAAAAAAGGAAACTTGCATCAGCAAAATGTCCAAAGATTCCTGCAGGTTTTCTGTGTACAAATGCTAGATTGGGCTTTTCTACCAGGGATGACATCACAGTTTTTGCTCATGAATATGGGAATTCATAATCACATTTGCACAAAAACCAACAAGGCACCAGAATATCTTTGGAAACAGTTCAGGAAAAAATCGAACGGGGCTTTAGTAAAATAAGTACAGTCTTTAACTCTATGTAAAGTACATGTCATTTAATTACTCGTACGGGTAAATAACTTTGACCGTACCTGCTTAGGCTGCTCAAGGATTCGAAGGTGTGGCGCTGAGAGATCGTTGAGTGTCTGGTGGCTCATGCCGGTCATGACCTCCAGCTGATGCAGATCGCTGGGCAGGCCCCCCACCATCTGCGGCCCCGTCCCATTTGTGGAGAGGTAGGCCTGCTGGTACATGTCGTTAGGAATCTCCACGGACTGCAAGGAGTCGGACCGCTCCTCGTCCGACATTGCTGACAGTAACGAGAGACTCCCGATAGCCTTGAAAAGTGTCCTGTAGCCAAAATCCCGACAGAAACAGCACAAATTCAAATATCAAGCGTGTCAGTATCGCGTAACACATCCATCCTTTACAGTCACAGACTTGCACAGCAATAAAACGCACCTGAAGCAAAAGTTAAATTATTGGTACTTGGCGGTCCCATATCTTCCTGAAACATCCTCTTGGAATTCTAATACGTTGACTGCCAACTGTGAGTGTACTCCCACGAACGGGTGTACCGGATTCTGCCAAGTGCTACGAGGATACTTGTGGGAAATGAAAGGCTATTGTAATGTAAATTGACTACACTGACACAATCAAAGAAAACAATGCACTGCTGGACAGACATCTGTAAAATACTCATATTCAAATAGACACCTGAAAGGTACATGTACCTATTAAATATGCGCATACATACAACGCTCGGCAAAGGAGAACGCCTCTGTGAAATTATACACGTCAGTCTTAATGGGCCATTCATAAAGTACGTACGGACGAGGGGGGAGGGGTTTTGGTGCCGTTGTGTACACCATGCGTACAAAGGTTCAAGCCAGTGCGTATGGTACGCAAACCGAAAATTGGCCTTTAATAAATCTTCATCAAATCAGTAAGATTTCTCGTACAAATAACTACCAGAATCAGCTTTTGTGCGTTGAAATTCAAACACAGTGTTCTCCACCATCCATTATGCCACTGATCTTCCAGTACCATTATTAGCAAACCACATTACTCATGACACAGACCGGCAGCATCTTCTGGAAATGTGGAATGCGCATGTGTACAGGGGTGGGGGGGGGGTTGGAGCCACTGCGTACAGGGGGAGGGGATCTGAAAAGTCAGCATTTCCTGCATACCTACATGTACTTTATGGACAGCCCCTAACCCCCTAGGGACCATTGAAGTCCTGCATAGCCTTGTTAGGTTCAGCATGGTTAGGGTTGACTACTTGTTACTTAATCCAAACACCTACTGTGGAAAGCACCATTACGGTTAAAAACTCCCTGCAATACTCTAGTAAAGCCACTACTCGTTCGGAAAGCTAAACTTTCACAGGCCAAACCAGTTTTTGGGGAAGGAAATGGGGAAATCCTCATTTTTAGGACCCTGATAGGGTCTACAAGTACTTCCACGATAACATTGTAACATCATGATGTAACTTGCCATAGTGCCCTATAGAGTACCGAAGTGTGACGTCACTGTGAACCAGAAAGTGCAGTGGAAACGAATGGAGTACGCGCGCGTGTTGGTTCACGTGCTGGTTCTCGCGCTAATGCCTTTTACACACTAAATGTGCGTGTAACGTATTCTATATACATGTATATGTCTTCAACTACTCTGTCATGAATGTAACATCAGGTGACAAATTGGCAACACTTTCACATTTTCAAGCAATATCATCCACAAAAAGGCTCCTCAGTCATGTCAATCTTTCAACAGGCTAGGCCTAAGGAAGAAATTCCAGAGCAGAGGCTGAAAAGGTGTTTGGGGACTGAACATTGATCAGATCATTGATACTGGTAACAACTTAGATTGAAATATGTAATTACAAAAACTTGGAAAACAGACATAGAGTAGACAGGTGGTGGCAGGGGTCCTAACTTACTTCTTAAACTAAAGTAAGGTACTACTCCGCAGACTAGTACTAGGCCTATAGTACCTATATGTTCAGGAAGTAAGTAAAATTATAGTCAGTGATGGTAGACTATTGTTAATCAGTTAGTTAACCCTTACAGTCCCAAATCCTCCAATTTCAATACAACTTTACATACACCCTAGGGTTAATGAAAAAGTTCAACATGTTCAAGGACTGTCCAATACCTTATTACAATAATTCTATTCGGTACTTACTGTGGACTGTAATACAGCTGCCCAAGAAGCTTCAGTAGTGCTGTTCTGTTCTGGCTATTTCTCTTCCGATCAGTTAGTGAGTTACGGATAACGCGAATATCTGAATATCCAGGCTAGACCTAACCTGCCTCACGCTAGGCCTGCTTACATAAAGCATGCGGTTTAGTGCGTACGCATAGGCCTATAGTACGACGTTACGTTCGTTTGCTGCCAAAAATTTGTTTCCGGCTTGTTCTCGACTAAAAACACTCCTTTCCCGTCTCTATTACGACATCAAGTAACTGCTCTGAGCGGTTGAGTTCTTCTTCACAACAAGGCCAGATGACCAAAATTACCACCAGTGTCTAAAATTCATTGTAAAATGGAATTTACCAGAGAACGAAAGCGTCTTCGTGATGTTGCAACCGTCGTTCTATTTTTAGATAAATGGGAAAAACCCACGTACCGCATGGGTTTTTCCCTTTTTGCTTTGTTGGTACCCGGCTGCAATGTTAGTGAACGGTCGAGTACCGAAACCAGTTAGAAATGGATGCATGAGTGCATGCCTCGTGATGGCGACATCAATCAAAGTAGCTCCATCCGAAGTGCAAAACAGCACGCAACAACAATAATATGTCAACTATACTACGGGAAATTCCCAACATTTTTCCAACGAACTGATAATTATAAATAAATTATGCTCATGTGCTATAATGAAGTTAATGTCCGAGATAAGTTGCCGGGCAACCAGATTGACATTAGCCATCACCCACCATTTTTGGGAACTTGACGAAAGGGAGAATTTTACGAAATGTGCAAAAACCCGTTATGCAACAATGGTTTGGATCGGGTGATGTCACATATTAACCTTGAATGCACTGCCAGTAGAAACTATTTAATTTCTGTCTAAGGGAGGTAAACAAATGGTTTGCAGAGTTTTTTGCGTTCCGCCCACTCACAGTGTGCCGATTTCGTCCTGCCCCCTAATTATCCTCAAATGGCACCACTCCCTCAAAGGGGAAGATTCCCCAGTGGTTTTCGTAACTGATTTCAACATCCGACCGCAAGTTTTCCCATATTGGTCCAGGGACAGGAGTAAACAGAAAAAAATCTACGCAGCCCATTTTGACCCTCACGCCTGATTCCAATCGCCCGTCCCCTTTCCAGGCTCGACGTGTGCCCAGGCAATTACCTTCCACATTAAAAGCTGTATCCGTGATGACTTCTGAACACCTCCAGGATGCGAAAAATGACATCTCATCCAAATACATGCATGGAGTTGATCTTACCATATGGAGCTGAAAAGGTTCTATTTTAGGCCGCGGGGGGCCCAAGGCCGGGTTGTAGGGACTTTCATGATCCACTTTGAGTGAAGTTCAAAACAGTTCCTGTGTCTGTCTGTAAATACCAATTCTCGTCATACCTTCTTTGAAATGTATTTTTCTAATAACCAAACATGGAACGGTAAGATTCGGGGTCTGTGAGAGTGGGTGGGTAATCAGTATGTGTGACATTGCAGTGCATGAGTTCTCTAAAAACATGATGAGCTAGTATCCTCATGAACGTCATGCAGCCGTTGGCCTACTGCTAGTGTTAAGCCAGTGTGAGTGAGGGGCAAAAAGGAACCGGGAGATAATCTCACAATATGCCGCCAATGTTAGAGATCCTAAAAGGTGATGGCCCAATAGTCACGGCTCTGGGGAAATCATGACGCTGGGAGAGCTGTACAAGACGGACAGGACCATTGATCGCCATTATAAATAATTATAATGGAGATCAATAGATGGATCCCAATACGACGCGTTTAGCGTCGATCAGCGCACTTCCTCGTTTGAAAACGAGGCTGTATGTGTCAGCTTCAATTCTTAATACGATCAGACGATCGAAAGTATTGGAGTCAAGACACAAAATACATAAAGGTATGTTAAATTCAGACTTTTCAGGCAGCAAAGTTTTGTGGAAGAGTCTTTCAGGATGACTCAACACGTAAAATCAAAAGAATAAATAACGACTATTGACCGCGAACTAGCGTACCAGTGATGGTCGTGTATTTTATGCAGTGGGCGTGGTTTAAACTGAAGTGGCGTCACACTTACGAACCGGATACTCCATGTACTGTGTGGACTCCGCGGGCGCGCGCGGTCAAGTTCAACACAGAGAGCCTCGGTTTTGATGCAGATATGCTCAGACGGAGCTAATGTGAAATCCCTCTATGGACCAGGCACACTCGGGCACTACTTGGCGCTGTTAACTCTGCATCTACAGAGCCGTGTGATGTGTAGAGAGAGCAGGGTCAACTTCAGACATTGGAACTGAATTGGCTGTTCATTATGATGTGTGCAATACAGCATGCAGCTGTTGTGCGCTTATTGTCCATGTGCATCAACGCATAGTCCACCATTTAAGTCCCAACAATTGAGACACTCATGTCGCAGCTCTCTCTAGACATAGAGTAAGGTAGAGTACCAAAAGTGACGTCATGTTGAACAAGATGGGCCTGTCTGGTTAACACGGACTTGCTCAGTGATATCCTAACGCTGGTTCGCACCATCTGTTAGGCAGGTTTCGGTGGCCCTAAACGGTCGGATCACTGATTATTACAGTGTCTTTGTCATTCGGTACGCGGTGAGATGGCCGTCATTATGCATTGGCTCCAATGACCTGTGTGTGCTAATCATTTTTTCAGAATTATGGGCTGAGTTCGGGCGGCTTGTTCCCGTATGTTCACGAACAGTTCCGATTTGTTGTTCGCGGGTCGGCCGCTCGAACGCCGGGAACAAACAACTGGTTATCGCTCGTACTTAGTGACAAGCAACATGGCGGCGTCCATGTAGGCTACGTTATTCGAGAGTTAATGTTTGGATGGGCTGATTTTTTTTCAATATCATTTCTGTGTTACGGAAAATAATTAATGTTAATTTGGCAAAACTTCCCATTATCTATGGCTTTGGAAGCCATCTCTCTACTTTTGCAGCTGTTCAAAAATCAGAATCTCACGAGTTTTTCGTGTGTTCCTGTAAAGCCCTGACGAGGAGGTGGTGTGTGATCCTGTTCCGAGAACAGAGTTCTTGGCCCACGGTCATGTTCCCGCCATTCGAGCGCGAGAACACGAAACCCGCGTCAAGAACAGGCCGCCCGAACGCGACCATGATGTCCGTGGTTTACGTTCCACATGGCCGCCTTGCTGCGCTTTGCATTGTTGACGTCAGTGGACAGCATATGGACATTTATGACAACAGTATTCGTGACTTGCCATGCAGAAGAAAGAATGAATCAAAACTGCCCGGCGCTCAAAATACGAATTTTCTCCCCTGACAAACTGGTATTAATTAAAGTTCCCGCGCACAGCTTGGAATTTTTTCGACCATGTCGAGAAAAACGGCCTTTCCGTATGGCAACCTTTTGGTTGGAGATTGTTATGGTAACCCCGGAGGGACATCGCTAATCGTCAATACTGACGCCAATATTTGCAACCAAATCACGGCTCGTTGCATTTCTGGTCGCAAATGATACTACCGTGATTTTTCCCCAGCAAGCCAAGTAGACAGAGAAGTTGCCCGGCTCTAGACACAGTGCTTTTTAACATTGTGTCCCCTGGGTTGTGCCAAAACTGCCCAGCTGAATAACGACTTGAGATCAAGCCGAAAAATGTAGGTCATTGCCCGTGCGCGTGAACACTTCCGCCTATAGCTGGCTGGGAAAAACATTCGCGGCAATACCTGCGACCAGAGATCAAGGACGTGTTTAATAAAATCTGGACTCGCAATACCCTTAATCAGCTTGTAGAGATCACTGAATCCACTCGCGGCCATTTTACCGAGCCGAATACAAAGCTTTCCTGGCAATGCCCGCCTTTGTTCTTCCTGACGTCAATAGAAAATGGCCGCTGGTTGGCTTCTTCTTCATATAAAGTCGTTGCAAGCCCAGGTTTTTTATATACGTCCGTGCCAGAGATACAACGAGTCGTGAATTTGGTCACATATTGACGGAAATATTCGCGACCAGAGAGCGAGTCGTGAATTTGGTCGCAAATAATGACGCCAATATTGACGATGTCCCTCCAGGGCCACCATACATTGGATCGCCCGTATTGCCATAAACAAGATACATGCGGATCGTCTGGTCTTCGTTTCACACCTTGTGATATACGATGTAAGCGTAACTATACACGTATATACAGGTAGGGCAGGCGGTATAAGTTGCCTGCTCATTCTTAATAACAGTTTACCCTCGAGCACCTTTCTCAATCCTGCAACCCTTAAAACTATCAGTAAAGATTATGTTCCCTAAACCTGAAATTTGTAATTTATTTGTAACAGGTCGTCAAAAGTCTGGACAAAAGATGTACTTGATTTCTTTGTTTTATTTTGTAGCATGATGTAATGTTTTCCACAGACAATACTTCCTTTTTTCCTGCCTTTACTAGGAAAACAGATGACGTTTTCCCGCCAAGGGAAGCGGGAGATCACGTGGTATATACGTTTAGCGGATACCAAGCAGTCTGTCCGTGTGGCAGTCTTTCCGCCCTGAAGAAAAGTGTTTTACATATATGACTGCAGGTCGGATACCCATGTTTCGCAGAAGGTGACCTGTAGGCCATGACCTTGGCCATGTCAACTTGTTCTTTTCTACATCCAGGTTTGGGCGAGGTTGGTTTGAGACTATAAAATGGGTGCATTGCCACTGCGATGCTCAAATCTCGTTCAACGTCGACGGCAGCACCTTCACAACTCAATTTGGTATGAATTCTCTCCATCAGACCTGGCCGACAAAGCTGTAACAATCGTTATCCTCTGGCAAAGTTCTGATCCTTACACTTCACGCTCAATGATGCCTTGCTTGTGTTGCAATTGTTGTCAAATTGTCTGCATGTGTCTTCTGTTTGTTTGCGCCACCTGCCGGGCTCCACCCAATCACAGCGATGTGCAAAGAGACACAGAAAACATGGTGAGTTGTAAATTAAAGTTGCGATTTTCTGTGCTTTCTCTTGTTCGCTTCGTTTAATTGTGATTAGTTTCTCTCGTTCTGCGGTTACACGTTTGTGTAGTGTAATTATAAACGCTTGATAAGCACCCCAACCTCGTACCTTATCAAATACCCAAATTACCAAAATGGTATCAGTTCTCTTGGATTTTCAAGAGAGGTTCTAGTTAATCTCTTTCCTCCAAGACAACAATTACCAAAGCATATTTGAAGACTCTTAATGGTTCTCCCCGATTTTGATGAAGGCCGCAGTACTTGGATCTGGAGACGATCAAATGAGGCAGGACAAAATAATTGGTATGACTGGACAGGAGTGGCTGACGATAGCGCCAACAGACACCGGCGAAACGGTTGTCGGGACGGCCACAGGTTAGTGACAACAATCAGCATCTCGTCCAGATCCACCGATTAACTGAAATAATATCACGTGCCACCCGAATGCTATTACTTCGAATCTAACGTTTTTCAAAGTGCGAAGTGTCCACTGATTTAAATATTTGAGTATTTTCTGCAATTCTTGGCGCTGTTGTCCGTCAAGATGGGTTTCGTCTGATTTGAAGTCCTCCACTTCGAATGTTCCCAGAGAAAATCGGTATTTTATAAGAGGAAATACAAACACTGCAACATGACGCTGAAGAATTTTGTCTTTTCTTTTGCCCATAAAAGTTCCTTCATGAGGGATGAGGTCCCTTTATAAATACACTTCCATGAGTTAATTTTCTGCCAGGAAAAACGCAAGTCAGAGATAAACAAGACGAACTTCTTCTTCTTGTAGCAACCACCGTTCTAAAGAACTGAGAGGGCTCTATCTTTTTTGTGTTCAGGACGATGCGGTACCACGAGGATCGTTGACGGTAATGTTGCGGAGGATCACTGGCCCTGGCAAGCCGAGCTTTTCGTCAAAAAGACGGGCCGCCACCTCTGCGGTGGCACACTGGTTGACAGAGACCACGTCCTGACTGCAGCTCATTGCTTCGACTCGTAAGTCTTCCCTTTCCCTACTCAGGAAACAGGGAGTGTAACTGAAGGAGGGCGAACGTCACGTTTTTTTAAAAAAGAGAGTGCTTCAAGCTGACAAACTGCCGTTCACTCACATTTTCATTTCGCAGGTATTTAGCTTAAAACGCTGCACCAGTGATGGGAGAGTAGACGATCAATGCGCGCATGCTCACAACTGGTAAAAAAACAGTATGTTTGTCGCCACCAAGCGTCTCTAAGTCTCCCATTGTTATTTATATACAAAAACGTCTGAGTATTAAGTTTTAAACTTGTTTCCAGATATGACATTGCTGAGGTCATGGTCCGCCTTGGTAGTCGTAGCCGTACTCTCCCAGAGTCGAGTGCGCAGACGTATCCTATTGCGTGCTCACACGTGCACAAGAAGTACAGACAAGGAGCCAACTACGACTACGACATATCACTCCTGAGGCTCAAGACGGCTGCAACGGAGTCTATCTCTGCCCGAGGCGTTTTTTTCAACAAGCACGTGGCACCAGCGTGTTTGCCACAACGGCGTGAATTTGGCGCGGGCACGACATGCGTGGTCACTGGCTGGGGTTACACAAGTAAGATGCTAATGAGCCAGTTCGGTATTCTAACAGCGCATGCCCAGTACAAGGCCATTCGGGAAGAACTACGCGCGCGCGATAGTCCGTCCTACCAGCGCAGCCATAAGATGACTCACGCGCCTTTTGTTCCCGAAAGACCTTAGCTTTATGAAATACCAAACTGGCCCATTTTTACTGGTCCGTTTGTCTGTCTACAAGCCATTCTTGTTCGTGACTCCGTCAAACATGCTCACGCACCACCGATTACAGGCTCCAACTGGACTGACACCCAAATTGCGCGTTAACATCCGGTTCCATGAAGCCACATAACTCTATCATGTGCAGTGAGCAGAGCTTAAACTGAAGTGACAGTACATCTAAAATCACCAGGGTCAGCCTGACCTTGGAGTTTTTTTTAGAGCGTATAGAGCTTTTTCTTGCGATGTCACAATCGTGCAGGACCTATGATGTGTTGTGATGGTAACGGGTACATAATGTTGTGATGATAATCTATCCAAGATAAACTAGTCAAGCATGCAGCATTCGCACGTGCGCTTACACGTTGTTGAAGCTGCCCGTAGGAATATATGCGATCACCGTGGCCAAGGCCGTCCACACGTGGTGCTATTGTTTACATTTAGCGCAATCTAGTGAAGTGGGTGGAAAAAGTTCTATTCTTACGAACTGGATAAAAAGTACTTGTTTGGGGTATAGAGTGTTATACAGTCTTCATTATGTTATCAACACATTCACCCTTGAACCTAAGTTGAGGTTTCGACCATTCAAATGGCACAGAGCAGGTTGATGTCACATAATGTGCTGTGGTAAAGAAAAGTGTTTATCAGCCCATTCCGTTTGCATTGGCTGTTGTTAAAGGCACTTGCATATTTTCATATTTTTTTGCTAAACTTTTTCCCCTCGTACTAATATATAGAACATTTTCTTTTTACAGGTTTCCAAAGTCTTCTCCTCGGAAGACTTCCCTCTGAGCTGAGAGAAGCAAGGGTGCCTCTGCTCAGTACAAAAACGTGTCGCGATGCGTACGGTTTCACCCTCACAGGCAGAATGATATGCGCCGGCTACATGGGAGGCGAACGACGTCCAGACACGTGCAAAGGCGACAGCGGGGGTCCACTCGTCTGCCAATCAGTGGACGGGAGATGGAAACTCTGGGGCGTGACGTCATGGGGCAGTAATCAGTTCTGTAGCCAATCACCCACCGATCCTGCGCCGGGCGTTTACACGAGGGTCGACAAGTTTGTGAACTGGATCGACAAAAAGATAACTGGAAGATGTGCAGTTTAACCATCAAGACTTCATTTAAATTAGGATTATTTATTGCATAAACTTCTTTTAAGCAAGCAGTGTGTCAGTGGCACTTATTTATTTATACTATATTAAATATTTTAAAGACTTACGTCTGATTTCTTTTTACCAAGGACATCCTAGATCGCGTGCATTAGACGTATGCGGTTTCCATAGGCAAAGGTATGCCACCTGGTTAAAAATTACGCCAAAGAACTTTAAAGAATTATGTATGGAGGGATCCCAATACGAAGCTTTTAGCATCTATCTGCGCACTTCCACGTTTGAGAACGAGGTTGTATGTGTCAGCTTCAATTCTTAATACGATCAGACGATTGAAAGTAAGGAGTTAAGACACAAAATACATGTACATAAAGGTATGTTATATTCAGTCTTTTGTGGAAGAGTCTTCCAGGATTACTTGACACGTAAAATCAAAAGAAAAAAATAACGCCAATTTACCGCCAACTAACGTATCTGTGATGGTCGTTTATCTTGTGCAGTGGGCGTGGTTTAAACTGAAGTGGTGTCACACTTACGAACCGGATACTGCATGTACTGTTCAACACAGAGAGCCTCGGTTTCGATGCAGATATGCGCAGTAGAAGCTAATGTGAATTCCCTCTGTAGCCTACTTGTAAATAATTTTGACACGTACAAATTCTTGCATGGGATATCAGGCTTAAGTATGCACTTAATCGGGTTCTGTGTACGTTGAGTGGGCGTGCGAGTGCGTATCCACCTCGAGCTGAAGCACCCCCTCATTGGTTGAAAAGAGTCATGTTGGTCGGGAGCGCTCAGTTTGTTGGTAGTCATGCGACCGTAACGTGTGCATTTCATGGTCGCTTGAGAACCAGCTAAGTACAGTTCCTGCCAAAGGAGCCTGCGTTGCCAGGAAAACTGAGCCCCATCTTGGTCTAGCTCGAGGCTCATTATTCCTGACTGGTCACAAGGTGGCTGGTTCTTTTGTTTCCGCGAGTAAGATTTCTCAGTAACTCTGCAAACCTGTAAACAGGTCTTCGGATCTTTTAGAAATTAGATTGAAGCCATAACAATTTAAAGAGAATAAAATTACGACATGCCGTCAAATGCAGATCCTTAGCCAGGCTTGTCTTTGAAATCTGCTTACCATTTCCGTTTTAATCATTTTACAGAGAAAAATCCAACAACTTTATCAAAATTTCGAGTCATCTAATTCCCCAAGGGATGGGCATGTCAGGAATGAAGATTTTCTCGATTTTTATAATTTTTTCTTGTCTTGCTCAAAACATCAAACGCTACCGATCTGACATGCTTCTGTAGGCAAAACTGAATACATTTCAGATACCTGAGACATTACAGAAAAGAAAGAGTTTCTCTGAGGCTATATAAAAAAACATCGTTCACGGCTGCTATTGTGTATACGTAAGTAAATAATGATCACAAAAACTTCATGTATACTGGAAAGAGTTGAATCTGATTTCAAATACATCTACGAGGACTCAAAATGGTATGGTTCAATTCTGTCGTAGCAAAATAAAAGCACAGACAATATCAGTCTCTGAAAGTTTGGACCAATCAATCTTCAAACAGCTTTTTTCAAGCCTAGCGTTTAACTGCGCATACTCTAAACGGCTCCGGAACAAAGGTGAAATGACTGATCCCCTTCAATGCTGGTGTAGGCGCCCCTGGCGGTAGCATAAATGTGAACCACTGGAAGAGGTTAGTAGCGAAGAGGAACAGCTCCATCTTGGCTAGCCCTTCGCCTAGACAACTCCGACGACCTGGGAATCGAAAAGAAGGATGTCTGTTTGTTAGGAGCAGTTCGAGTACAGCCAAACAGCTACACAAACCAACCACGACAAAACAGTTTCGAGTACAGGAAGTAATCTAGTGCTCTGAATCTTCAAGTTGTCTTTTCACAAAGCGTACGCAATTATGCCATCCAATTTCTGGAACTGATATTCAAACATAATTCTCCTATGCTGGTCTGCGAACTACAAGTCCCTGTGGCAACAGACTCAACCTTTACCCAGAATGCCCGGCGAAAGATACCTTCTCCATGGTGGCCTCTTTGTGGCGCACTATACAGTGAATTTCCCTGTTCCTGCAAGACAAAATATACTGGCGTGTGATTCGAGAGAGAAATTTGACGAACATGTATCTTGCAAAGCTTACCTTGGGAGAATGGTATGAACGCTTCGTGCTGGATCATTGTCTTGCCGTCTTTGCTCAGGAAACGTCCGGGGTTGAACTCCTCTGGCCGATCCCAAACCTTGGGGTCGTTCATCATCGCCCATAGATTTATAATCACACCTATAACAGTTGAATAAAGATTTCAGAAAAATCACTAAAGGTGGCCTCTGATGGTACCAGGGTTTCCCCTGCCTATTCAACTGTGAGGCAGCCCACCTCACTGATTTTAGCGACCATTTAACCACCTCACACTTAAAAACAGATGGAGATGGAAGGGAAAAGCAAAGTAATTGAGATATTTTGAAATAGATCAAACATATCAGTATCAAAGGGAACTCTGCATCTTACTATTAACCCTAACCCTTCTCAATCCTTCACCTGTTGGAGGACTGAGGAGTGTTGGGGTTTATGTCACAGTCAAAATCCGCTTTAGATAATAATATAATAATTACAACGTTTGTAATGCGCTTTCCACAACGTTTCAAAGTGCCATTATTATCCCTGCACATTGGGCTCGCACAAGTATGAACATTGCTGAAACCATCTCAGCTCCCTGAGATTTCGGCGCAAATGGCTTAACATAACCGTGTCTGCCCTCAAAGGTACCCATTTTCTCCTGGGTGGAGAGAGGCACATAGGGGTAAAGTGACTTGCCCAGGATCACAACATGCTGCCACCGGATGGATTCCTACCCTTGACGCTATGATCAGAAGCAACAAACCATAACCACTAGGCCACATGCCTCCTGTATATGGTGGTTCAAAGACTAGTTGGCCAATCGACCAAAAAGGAGAGCGAGATTAGTTATGACCAGGAGTCCAGGATCCTTCATACACAAGGGTGTTCATCTTACCGCTTCCCTTGGGAATGGTGTATCCTTGTAACTGCAACTCTTGTGTTGTCACGTACGGCAAAGCAAACGGTGCCACGGTACGTAGGCGCTGGACTTCATTGATGACTGCATTGGTGTAGGGCATGCTGGGACGGTCCCCGCAAGATGGCTGACGGTCGCTTCCCACCACTTCATTAATCTCTTGCTGGATCTACGAGCCAAAGTTATTGATTGGGCAACGAGGTAAGTCATCAAGAGTTTATGCTTTTATAGCAGTCACCAAAGTAGTTTCTCATGTAGAACTAGAGACCAAAGTTGGAATCCAGCCATATGGGTGTGTTTTTGTAAGTATTACCTAGCAGAAATGCAAAATTTTCACAATCTTCTCAATGTCACCGATGCTAAGCCATTTGACTTACATGCACCTAGCAGACGGACAAGGCTTGCTAACGAGCAAATCTTACATGTCCCACAGAGTCGTGTTGAGGTCATAAAGCGTGGCTTTGTCTCCAGAATCTCCTTGACCTACAACCGACTCCATGGGAGGTGTGATGTGTTCGGTGTTACAAGCCTTGGAAATTTTCCTAAGCAGCTCTACCAAGCAGTTTTATCTAAATAATCCAATCTGATGTGGAATGTTTTATAAATGTCCAGCTTTTGTGTTATCCATGCAATTTTAATTGTATTATTTAATTGTAATGTCTTTTTTGAATTTTGGGGGTTTTGGGGTGTTAGTTATTTATTTGTTAATTAAATTTCTTATACATAAATATATTATTTAATTTTCACGTACTATTCTGTAATTGGTGATTTGGTCGCTGTTTGATGTGGTTGAAATAAAACAAAATGAATAAAATGGCGACAATGCTGGGATGAACTCTTATTACATTTTGATATTAATGAACTGATCGTTTAAATATTAGCAACGATATTCTTCTGCACATTAATGCTCTAAAGGAATTTGCAAAGAACTTGAGGTTTATTACGGCATTGCAGGAAAGCCTGCTGCTTTGGTCCAAACCATACAGCTCAGAATGCAATGCGTCACAAATGTACACGAATATTGTAAGCTTTGAATCATTTTGACAACTACAGTCCTACATTATGACATCGCTGACTAAAAGCGGTGATAAATTCCAAAAATGGAGAATGAATGCATTTGTCTTCAAGCACGAATTCTCAATTTTGATTGGCCAATCCCTGGTCGCTCGCACCCGTCTGATAACTAAAAGTCCGTCTGTGTCCCGAACACCACAAGGCCCAAGGCCATGTGGTACAGGGGGCATACATGTAGATGCACTGCATTATTCTGTGTTCCACAAGCGTGACAACAAATTTATCTGCAAGTTAATTTGACACGCAGTATCTATAAGCGCGCAAATGTGCTGCCTTTAAATTTACTACCAATGTGGCAGCTGCGTGTTTTGCTTTTGGAGTGAAAAAACAGCGCAATGGTGCAGGCTTTTATATGAACCATACAATATCACACAGTTGCCATGGGTGGACCAATCAGAATTGAAAATTCAAATTTGCTTGAAGAAGAAATTACATATTGAGTATCTGCAAAATATTTGCGCACTTTTTATACCTTATCTTGTACTTCGGGGTATTTGAGCATGAAAGATATCAGCCACAGCAAGGTGTTTGAAGTTGTGTCCGTGCCAGCGCCGAACAAGTCCAGGATACCCCGCCAGATGTGTTGGTGGGTGATGGTCGGAGCAGGCCCAGTCCGCTCTTTCTCTCTGATGTCCGCAATGCGCATATCGGTGATATCCCGGAAATCGTTCTCGTCAAAGGAATCTTGATGTTCCTGGATTGATTTAAAGAGATATTCTCTCAAAGTTTGGGGAGGGGAGGGGGCTTGAGCCTTCCACAAGAAGTCGGTTTCTAGCGGGCCTTGATTTGTTTCCTCGATTTTTCTCACAAGAAAATAAACCTAAGACAAAGTATACATCTTATTCATCTTTAAACTACCTGCTCTGATTTAGTCATACATCCCAGTCCGGGGGGGGGGGGGGGAAATGGGAAGTGGGCGCTGTTTTGGGGAAATTTTTGGG